CGGTTGCGTACTGGGTGGCTGAATTTAAAAGAGGTAGATCAAGCTGTAAAGATGACCCGCGTTCTGGGCGGCCTTCAACCTCCGTTACAGAAGAAAATGTCAAAAAGGTTGAGAATCTGGTTTTGGAAGACAGAAGAATGACTATAAAACATATAGCTGAGATCCTAAAGATATCTTTTGGTAGCGTTCAATCCATTTTAATTGATTCACTGGGGTTCAAAAAAGTGTCTGCAAGATGGGTGGCACGAATGTTAACCGACGAAAACAAAAAGCGACGTTTGGAAATTTCCAAGCGTAATCTCGAAATGTTCCAGCGTGATTCGGATAATTTTTGCCGTCGTCTTGTCACCATGGATGAAACGTGGGTCCACCATTTAGATCCTGAAACTAAAAGACAAAGCATGTCTTGGAAACGGCCATCCTCTCCATCAATCAAGATATTTCGAGCTGCTCCTACCGCTGGCAAAGTTATGGCCTCTGTGTTCTGGGATAGTGAAGAAATCCTTTTTATTGATTACATGCCAAAAGGCCAGACGATTACTGGACCCTATTATGCAAATTTAATCCCGAAAGTGCGTGAAGCGATTAAAGAAAAACGTCGTGGAAAACTGTCGTTGGGCGTGTTGTTCCTTCAAGATAACGCTCCTGCTCATCGATCGGATGTTGCCCTCAACGCAATCCGCTGTGCTGGCTTCAATCTCCTTGACCACCCACCATATTCTCCGGACTTAGCCCCAAGTGATTTTCACTTATTTCCAAAATTAAAAGAGGAAATTCGTGGAACAAAATTTCACGATAATGACGCGGTTATAGCTGCCGTAGAGGACTTTTTCGAGAGTCAAGAAAATATTTTTTTTTTCACAAGGAATAAGGAAGTTAGAAACGCGTTATTCTAAATGCATTGCATTGGAGGGAGATTATGTAGAAAAATAAATTATTATTTAAATCTTTGCATTTTTTAATATTGCTTCCAAGAATTTTTTGATTCACCCTCGTATTAAAGTGAGCTAGTACATTTATCATTTAATTTTAGTTTCAAGGTATAAAATATTCCCGAGATAACTTATTTGGCTTGTATTTAATAAAACACCCAACGAGAAATATTTTACGTAAATCAAGGAGGTACAGTCAGCGTCATATAGATCGACACAGACAAGATATGCAAATATATAGGTACACCAAAAGTATTCAATTATATCGGTACAACAAAAGTCCTCAAAATAATAGATACATTCACCCTGCTCAAATACATCGGTACATACACAGCGTCAAATATATGAGTACATGCAAGATGCTCATAAATATCGTAGCAGCCACAGCGTCATAAGTAACGAAGCAGTCAAGGTGCGCAAAAATATCGGTACATTTGACAAAATTGAACTCAATCTCTATATGTGATACAATTTGGAATAAACTACTTCTGTTACATTCATTTGACACTTTGCATCAAACCATTTTTCAAAATTTACTAAAAGTGTTCGACGCGGATGACAGTTATTAGGTAGATAAAACCAACATCAAATTTAAGTTTGTCATCATATATGCTAGTTTGGTCTCGTGGCCTTACCGTTCGCCGCCGTTGGTACGTAAGTTCGGCGGTTCAAATCCCAAGCAACTATTTTTTTTTTGATATTTTAACTTTTTAATTTTAATATCGAAGCACATTGTAATTAAACTCTATCGCCGTAGTTATTAGGTACTTTTTGATATTGCCTTGGACTAATGAGTTTGACCGTTAAAGTACTTTTCTATTTCAAACAAAAATGAAGGAGATAAAGCGATGTTATTGGCATGTAATTTGTTTATTACTCATGTTTGTTAAACTTGAACCGGTAAAAATAACACTTTTACTTTTACCTTTTACTGATACTGATTATATTTAAGAAACAAAGAAAAAAAACTGAATGTCAATATCCAAACTACATCAAATTTTTGGTCGATTGCAATAAACATTCCAGTGTGCGTGGGCGCGCACACATATGTAGATAACACTTGTACGTATAGTTCCGCGCGTACCATTCTTAAAACCCGCAAAGACAATCCACGCTCCGCCCACTCACTTCACCCGCGATGGTCTGACCTAATTGTTGTTAACTTTATTTAAATTTCTTTTTACGCGACAGCGAAAATTATAAAAAAAAATTGTCGAGCAAAATTTTACATTACCAAATTTTTACTGGTTATGAAAAAATAACCCCGTGATTGATAAAATGAAAAAAAAGTAGCCTGAGATTCGAACCGGTAAACTTACATATTACGGCAAACATACTAGAATACTGCGCCAATCTAGTATTATATATATTGTGACAAGGCAAAATTTGATATTAGTTAATACGTATCTGTCATATTCGGCATGACATACTTTTATATTTAAGTGTTATGACAGGGGAAGAAAAATATTGGGTTGCCCAGTAAGTTCGTGCCGCTTTATAAGGAAAATTGAAACCCTGTTCTCTTAAATTTTTGGAAATGTTTTTAAATTATATGGGTACGACTCTATACCTAAAACGTCTTTTATTATTGGATAAAATTTTAAAAATGTTTTTATCTCAACCAATGAAATGAAATTATTCACAATATAGAAATTTTTGTGACGTTTGATAATGGTGGAAATCCGAAAATGAATCCACTTCAGCTACAGTCTATTGTAAGCTTTATATCGAAAATCAGAACGAACTTTCCGGACAACCTATAATGTTAATACAAAGTGTCAAATGAATGTAACAGAAGTAGTTGATTCCAAATTGTATCACAAGTATATAGAGATAGAGTTCAATTTTGTCAAATGTACCGATATTTTTGCGCACCTTGACTGCTTCGTTACTTATGACGCTGTGGCTGCTACGATATTTATGAGCATCTTGCATGTACTCATATATTTGACGCTGTGTATGTACCGATGTATTTGAGCATGGTGAATGTATCTATTATTTTGAGGACTTTTGTTGTACCGATATAATTGAATACTTTTGATGTACCTATATATTTGCATATCTTGTCTGTGACGATCTATATGACGCTGACTGTACATAGAGTAAAAAAAACGATTATAATGGTATAAATAATACTTTACAATTTTCAACGCAATACATAATGAAAAATATCACAATTGTGATTTAACACATTTAAACATGAGACAATATTAATCTAATCCATTTCTTCGTTTAGGGAATGTTTTAACTTCAACTTCCTCCACCTTCTGGGCAACTTCAGCTAAACCTTCAGCAGCCTTGGAAGCTGCAGAGCCGCAGGTCTCTGCTACCTCTTGAATACCTTGTGACACCTGCAAATATAAACATCTTAACATAACATCTAATTATATCCAAGTCCTAGAGCTTCTTTATAGAATACTAGCCGGTGCCTACTGCTTCGCATGTGTTTCCCTATTTCTTCACCTAAAATTTGCATTCATAAAAACTTCGACATAGGATAACATTTCTATTCTTTCTATTAGTATAAAAGATTATACAAATATATTTTAATTGAGATGAGATTTAAAGGAATATTAAACATGTTTAGATGGATGGATGAATGGATGTTTGAAGGTATCTCCAGACAGCTGAACACAATCACAATGATAATTGGCATGGTTGTAGAACATAGTCTGGAAGAACATATAAATTACTAATTAAGATTTTTTTAATTCTGCACAGGTGGAGTCGCAGACAACAGATAGTATTTAAAATTTGTAAATGAATAAATTATTGAGAAAGCTTAACACTGCAATTTAGGAATATGGTATATTTAAGAGGTGTTACCGCATCAGTCTCAGCCTTTACTTCTGCAGCTTCCGCATGCATCTTGTCTACAGTTTTTTGCAACTGAGGAACTTGCTGAATAGCCTCAGATTCCAATACAGGAGCAGCCTGCAATTAATTTAATGACATTATACAAAATAGAAAATTGAAAATATTTTTTTTAGATTCATACTATTAATGTTTATAATTTCTACCTATATTGAGTTACTTATAGTGGCTTCTGTAAACCACTTAAGCTGGTACTCAAATTTATAACTCACTCACTATTTAAAAAGGGTTTGATTAATGCTACAATCTTTAAATAGTTGAGATTCATAATAACATACCTGTTTACAGCGATGCATACAATGACAGTGATGTTTAATTACTGGTTCTGCTGCAGCCACTTCCTGCATTTTCAAGTTATTCTGCTGCATCTACAAAATCATAAGTGTTAATACATTTATGATGAATTCAACACTGAAATCATTATCAATTTATACTTACGTTCTCAACGAAGTTAGGGTCAGTGTAGTTGTTTAATTCGGTGGCTCTTTGCATACCTTCGGATAGTTTCTCGTGACCAGCTGTGGCATTATTTATGGACTGAGCTGTGTTCAGTAAATTAGCTGTTGCCGAATCCTCTTGTTGACCATCAGCTGGGTTATTTAACGCTAAACCCAATTTCGCTTCTAATTGTTCGATTCTATTTTGTAAAATTGCAATAGGATCCATTATGGTTATTTAAAAAAGTAAAGAACAAGAGCTAAAAATGTAGTGAAAAGAATCTAAATGAGAATTATATGAAAGAAAACTATTCAAAAATCGAATTAGAATTTATTTTAAAATAAGAAAAAGAACTCCGAAACTTGACAGTTAAGTACCGTGACGTCTCAGCGACGTCCAAATGACGTCACTGGACGGGTCTGGGGTTGTGCAAAGAGTCTGTGGTCTGGGTCGAGAAGGAATCGTGAAGAAGTAAACAAGATTTTAACGAAAAAATATATTCTATTCCGTATTGCGACTATAGTCAATTTTGTATTTCATGTTTATTCGGATCTTAGGGTTTAATTTTTTTCTTTTTAGTATTTTTTAGTCTTTATAATTTTTTTAAATGGGCAATGATAAAACAATTACAACTGGCAACCTGGCAACAGGTGTTTATAAGTCAATGTCATCTCTTGTCAAGTTGTGTTAAAGGTCATCTTTCTGGGTGTTTATTTTACTGTAATAATTATTTTGGTACTAATTATTTTATTAATTGTTAATAAAAGAGTCACTTTATCATATAAAATCTCATGACATACATCTAAGTAATAGAGGCAACGATAAATTACTCCTGTTTCCTATTACTTTATTTAGTAGTAAATAGTAAGGAAAAAGTTAAGAGTTACTTTAATTATATTAGGTTATATCAACAAAAACATATATTAATTAGTCTAACATAATGGATGAAGAATTGGGTGACCTTACAGAAAGTGATTTCATCCTCCCACCAATAAAATACGAATGTAAGTACTTTTGTGCAATTGATTTTGTTATCTCTTATAATATCTTGTGAATTTACATTTAATTGTTAACGTTTCAGATTTGGATCATACAGCTGATGTTCAGTAAGTTTGAATGTGTACATAATGAAAATTTAGGATTTTTTATTTTAAGATAAATCATTAAAACAACTATAATTTTTATCCTTTAAGTTAAATAAGTGAAAGACAATAACTGCTGGGTTTGCATAATACTGTTAAAATATTGCTACATATTTATATTTATAACATATGACTCATAGTTTGGATTTAGAAAGAAGAGGATGCAAAATGCCATTGTGGTTCTGTTTCAAAAGTGAGTGGAAAACATTTTTGTCCTACTTATAGGAGGATAATGACTTTTTTTATTGGAATAAAGTTGGTTTTGTTTGTTTCAAATGAACTACTTCTATATTTATGTCCATCGGACTGTAGCTCTTTGATATAATAATAAAAGTAAAGTTTTTAAATTTTCTTATCAATTAATTTCTTTTAATTTGTCCGTATTTTCTCTGTTTGTTTCTAGGCTACATGCTTGGGGCGATAGTCTTAAAGAAGCGTTTGAACAATGTGGCATGGCAATGTTTGCATATATGACAGAGATGGCATATGTTCAAATCAGAGAAGTGCACACCATAGAAGCAAATGCTGATGACATGATAGGACTTCTCTATCATTTCCTAGATGAACTGTTATTTCTCTTCTCAGCCGAACCGTTTCTCATTTGCAAGAAGTTAGTAATAACTGAGTTCAATACGGAAGAATTCCGGATAGTATGCAAATGCTACGGTGAAGAATTTAAAATCGGCACACACCCTCAAGGGACTGAAGTCAAAGCAATTACATATTCGGCAATGCAAATTATTGATGAACCCAAAGATCATAAGTTTGAGGTTTTTGTTATAATTGATATTTGAGATGATCATATTACAATATTTTTTTATGTTTCATTTTTGTAATATTTTATTTTACCCTCTTAACAGTCTATTGTTCTATAAAAGGTGGACTCAAATCATGGCATTAGAAAAGTTGTTTTGTAAACCATACTGTGGCCCAAGCTTCAGAAAATGTACATCAATTTTTCGTTACTTCTAATAATTACAATTTATAATAATTTATGATGGTAACTGAAAACTATTTTTTAAATTGAGCAGTAGTATTACAAATAAAATGGTGAGAGCCAGAGAGAGGTAAATATTTATATCGCGTTTCGTTTGTGCTTTTTACGAAAACTAATATATAAACGGCTATACACTCACGTATTCGGCACCGACACTAGACTAATCTTATTAATATTATAAATGCGAATGTTTAGACGAATAGATGTTTGTTTGAAGGTATCTTCAGAAGGGCTGAATAGATCTCGCTGAAATTTGACATAGATGTAGAACATGGTCTGGAAGAACACATAGGCTACTTTTTAAGACTTTTTTTTATTCCGCGTGGACGGAGTCGTGGGCGACAGCTAGTACCTAATAGTTTATGATAATGTCCCACGAAAGTTAGAGTAATTTAATTATTACGATAAACATAAAAAAAAAGAAATGATAATGTTAACGTAGCTGCTACCAACTAAAACTTAACAACTTATTTTCTATGCGCCACGAGTATAAGTTCCGAGTAAGTATCGTTCTGTTATCGTATCAGTATCATGACAAAGAAGTATTTTGTTTTAAAATTTATTTTACCAAACCCTACCTGATTGCTTTTTCGCAGAGAAACCTGTGTTCTGAGATAGACTCCTAATCTTAAGTGATCACTGCCATAGCACATTATTTTATTCGTTCCTGCGGTGGATTATTTGTTTTTTTTAATGCTATGACTATAGACAAATATATTCAGAAATATTAAAGATGAAGAAAAAAATAGTGATAACCATAAACTTAATTTGAACTGCAAAAAAGAAAAATCACTCTTTTGTTCAAACTTGTACACTTTGGTTTGGATAAAGATACAAGACTCTGCTTCGGGAGGGCTCAAAAACTTGTAGAACCTCCACTTTTCCTATGATCTAGATCCACGTTTTAATTTTTACCTTGAATTAGTCACTTCTCGCATTCAACTCGCGGCAATAGTTTAAATGCTTAAATGGATCGAAAATCATAAGTTTCTAAGTAATCTGGATTGGGCCCCTCTTGTCCTGATGGCTGTACCCCTTGGTGATTGGCAAACGAAAAAGTAAAATACTAGTCTTTTAATATGCCTTGCTCATGTTTGTTACCTCACGTGTGGAGTTGAGCTTAAAACACATGTTACGGTGGCTTTTACTTAATGCTTGAACCTAATAAAGCTTCGTCATTTTCGGTTTTCATTTTTCCAAATGTTATTTTCAAACTAGACTTCATCGGACAAAGAGTGACAACGCAGCCACAAATAGGTGAGCTTGCTGTAGTAGTATTAAAAAGTGCCGTTATCCTTACACTGAGGTGTTTGCGTCCCCGGTACCTTTCCATGTCTCCATTGTACCTATTTTCTCCAACTACTTCCTCTTCTATTTGCTATTTTTTAAGACTATAGAAAGCTTTTAACTTTTTTGTAGAAAGGAGTAGGTGATGTAACAGCAAGGACATTAGCACCAGGCTTCCTAATTTTTTTTGAGCTGACACAATCATGCAACAGCTGCTGTTAGCTCTACCACTGTTAGATTTTATAGTATTTGTAGCGATATAGATGATTTGACGGTTCGCCCCAGTTGCCTACGACCAAACGACCAGGGATGATAAAATCCCAGCGAACAGGGATAAAACAGCAATGACAAAATCTTCCTATGGGTGATAAGTATCCTGACTCTACGTTCTTTTATCTTGAATTTTGTTCAGGGTGACACGGCGTGGTACGCCGCCAGAGTCCATATATGAAACGATGCTTTTTAGCATTAAATTGTTAATAAATATTAATTAGTCATTAATATGCGCTTTATTCAAATAAACTTCTTAATATAATGAGATTCATTAGTTACCCCAAGTTATGGCGGTACTGTTGTAAGTTCAATGATCGATGAAAGTGTTAAATATATAATACCCGTGGTTTGGTAATAATATTTGATGAAATGTAAATATAATATTTTCCCATATTATCTTTGAAAAAAAAGACCAGTCTCCGAAAATCAAACAAACCGCAAGTATTCTGTATGTTCCGTTCGACGTCTGAAATACATTATGTTTTTCCAGAAATTAGATTAAAAGGATTTGTTAGAAAAATAAATGACAACCAACGTAGACTATAAGCATGAAAAAAATAACAGTTATTAAATATTATCAGTACCTTTTTAAAATGTTTTGAAAATACTGGTCATTTTAGCGAAGCCGACATAATTAATCTATAGATCGGTCATAGATATAACTCAGAACTCTCTTTTGTCTATGAATAATTCTATTTTCTACAATCATTTCCGTTATATTCGCGCGTTCATAATCATGACTTCCTGTCCATACGAAATATTTAAAATCGGTAATTATATTTAGAGTTTGTAAATCGTATTTAGTGAAGAGTGACAATTTTAATCCCAGTCTGCAAGGGTAAACAACAATTAAAACAAAAATACATTTTATTTTTAGTTATTTGAAGACTATATTTATACTTGTCTTTTTATATGAGATTTTAAATTAAAGTTTGTTGTTTTTTACTCTAATTACATTAAAAATGGATAGCACAAACAAAAGAATTATTTCTTTTGTAATTAATAAATAATGATCGAAGAACTTAATGTCTATCAAAGGTAAGATAAAATATTTACGATAACGATTCATGTTAAGTTCAGTTTCCTTCTGAAGTCCTGATCAAAAACGAGCATTAATATTTTTAAAACCTTAGCATAAACCATACCAAATTTAAAATATATCTTTGCAAACCAACCGGACTTGGCGGATTATGTTTATATTTATTGAAGTGAAATAAAATAGAAATGCTTATATTTCGTGGAAATAGAGAGTTTCTCTGGGTTATTTATTATCATACAAACTCACTTAAATATCAAGAAAAATAGTATACATTGTAAAAAAAAATTATAAACTGCTTTAAGGTTTTGAAGCATACTCGGTGCCTTAAATTCATATTCTGTGAACGTTCGCGGCGCTCTACATAAAACCGGTCGCCTAACGAAAATTCAAAAATTCGTTATTATATTTTTTATGGCTTCCCAAACGAGGGGAGGATTTGAAGATCGGCGTCGGCTAGGGGTAGCTTGGTCGGCCGCTTCGCGCCTGCGCACGTAGTTCGCGCCACTGCTACGTCGCTTGCAAGCCAGATGTTCTGAAAAGCTTCCTGTCGTCGTTACGTTGCTCTTCATTTCTATGTTATAAATATAAAATGTGAAATAGACTATTCTCTTTTATATTTTATTTTTCGTGAAGTTCTCAGTGAATTAATTAATATGTGTACGACAATTTGTGACATTTAACTAAATTTATCGGCCTCGATGTCCACGAGTTCACTCGAGACCAACAAAGCGGCGGACATTTTATTTTGAGTACTCGATAATGTAGCGTTTGCGTCGAAAACATTAAATGTCGTTTTATGGTTCTCAATTCGGATATCGTTCGCTTACACCTTTCGTAAGTATTACAATTATTAAATGTTTTTTTTATTCATTTATCTGATATGTGTACGTATCATTTCGGAGCGGTTAAAAGCAGGAATTACCGCTAGGTCGTCGATATTTTGGGGAAAATGTCGTTGAAAAAGTGACGTAAGCAAAATTGGGCACATGCAGGTACTGCTATAGCCTTCATATATTACATAAAACTTATTATAATTTATATCGACCCGCTCCGCTTTGGAGGCTTCTCACCTGTGATTTCCGCGCGCGCGGCGCCCCTAACCTCTTCACTAATTTAATTGTGATACTTACGTTCTATCTTTTTAATAATTTCATGTTGAAAAGGTGGTCATGTGTAGTTTTTGTGAACAGCGATGCCGAGGGGGGTGAAGCGAGGGCAGGCGGAGGGTGAAGCAGAGGTGGTGGTACGCGTCGGGGCGTCTCCGTCGCACACCACGCTACTGGAAGACAGCCCCAGCCAGCCCATCAGCTACCACCTTCTCGACCACGGATATGGAGCTACGCCACAGCACCAAATCAGGCGCGAGGCGCCCTCGGCACCGCCAAAGACGTCTGAAGTAAGTTGGTAAAACTTTCTTTCCTCACTTTCCATATTTACCATAACCATAACCATGACCTTACAAGTTAAAACTAAAATTGACAATACTAACTGCACTTTGTGCTACATTTCATAATTGTATTTTGCTATAATTTTCTCTTCATATGGTACACAAGTAAAGCATACATTATCAAAATTCTTGACTATAGGAATGAGCAATGTTAGAACATTCATTTCATTATACTTAAATACATATCCACACCCTCATAAGGTAATGTAAATCAAGGAAGCCGAATCTTATATTTCAATCTGATCTCTGAATTTGTTCTCTAATAGAATGTAAATGAATTTGAATCATTAGTTTTGAGTTTAGGACCTAGCAACTGATTTCACTGCGATTAACTCTTAACAATCCTACTTCTTGCCTTAAGTTTATCAAAGATAATTTTAGTTAATCAATATACTTGCAACATATTGAGCTCAGTCCTTAGCTTTGATATGATGTGTACAAGATCAACTATTGAGAATTATGGGGCATATATATAAAAAAATGAAATTTGTGTAGTAAAAGGAACAAATTATTGTTATTCAGTTATCTCCCTTCATCAATCATTTTGAACATTTTTATGTAACCAGTAACATGGTAATGCCATACACAAAATTAATAGATATTAGTCAACGAAAGAAATGTTGAAAAATTATTCTTTTCTTGACCGTTTTGCTTAGAATTTAACACAAATTATCAATTATCTTTCAATAGATATTTTAATAGTTTGGTTAAAAATTTGTTTGATACCAAGATGTTTTAGGTTATCTAATCAAACATATGATTATGAAAGTCAATCTTTTATTGTAAACTAAAATGTCATAGTTTTAGAAACATTTTGATCATATTTAAGGTCAAAGACCCATTGGAGGGCAATGAACTAACATGTGGAATTGAGATTTTACATAAATATCAAATTTTAAGAAGATTTCATTTGCTACTAGTGTGTTGAGTTATACTCATTTAATTGTATTTCAAATTAATTGTAGATACATTATACATATCTTAATATTGATTTCTGTGTAAGTATGATAACTTTTTACACTAAATATTGCTGCAAAAATACAACAGTTGTATGGTTTTCTTAACCTCATATACTCATATTTGGTTAAAAGATTAAAAAACTTTAATTTTAAAAATGTTCTGGCAAAGATATCAATCATGTACTGATCCATCCTATCACAATGTAGTAATTCTCAGTATTTTGAAGCTTGCAGATAAAACTGACAATATTATGTTGATTTGTTAGATTTTGGATGTTTTTAATTGTATTCAGGTTATGGTTTTGATCTTTGATTTTTGTTGTTTTGATGTCAAGTAATCTTAATCCAAGTTAACAATATTCCAAGTTTACAATTTGGATTATTTCAGTTTATAGTATGTTACCTCTTTTCCTTACATCAGTGGAAATGGAAGGTTTTATGAAGTTTAGTGAAAGGTGTGGACTTTCTGTTTTATCATAGCCTGATAAAAACATTTTATAGATTACAAAACTATTTTAATGATTTTTATAGTAATTTTATATCTGTTCTTTGTATATGTGATAAGTATTGCAGTGGTATTGTTTCTTAATACTTGTATTTTCTGCAAATAAACATGTTTATAAAAATTAATTTCATATAGTAACCTTGGTTTTCTCCCTTTAAGGTAAAACATTGGTTAATTGTAAATGAATTATGCCGTTTGCTTATTGACATTTTGCATATTATACTTGAAATATAAAAATACTCTTGGACTTTCAATTCTTACTTAGTCCAAAAGAAAGACATTTCCTGATTTTCATACAATTGAATTGAATTTAACTATGTCTACAATTTTGATGTGATACATCTTTTAATTAATGCCTTCCTGATCAAGTCATTCATAGTTCCTTGTGCATGTAGTACCTATAAATGGAGGTCACATGACATCATACTTTCTTCTGACGTAATTTCTAATAGCAGTCAAATTGTTATCTCTTGATGAGTGGGCTCAGTGGTCGTTTCCGTGGCAAGTACATGAAGTAGGTACATGTTTTATGGCCAAAATCTATTGTCGAAATGTTACGAAGAGCAAAACTAATTATGAAATCAGCTGGAGGTCTAACCTTAAACTTGTCGTTTTCGTGTAAATGCATTTAAAAATAGCAGTGGACAAGTGTAATGCGACACATGTCGACAGTGAGTCCCCGGCGGGATGACGAGCCGCGCGTCGCCATGTGGGTAACCCATGCGGACACGTGGCCCAGGTACATACATGCGCGAATCAGTCAATGCCCTCTCCCTGCGACTAATCCCTAATAACCCAGGGGTGACTTACCCCTTGGACAACAATATATAACGACTAAACACAACTTCTTTCCATTAAATCGATCTATGTGAAAGATTTCACTCATCAATAGTACAGTAATAGTAGTAGTAGTAGGATATTCCTCACATAATTCGCCTATCAATTATTAACGTAAGATCTCAGAAAGGGCTAAATTGATTATGTTAATGGCGAATTTTGTTTAAGGCAGGGGTCGACGTTCTTGCCGCGGGCCCGTTAGCACATCTGCTCCGATTTACTGACGCTGGCACACATGGGCACAAAGACTTGTGAGACCCGCAATTCAGCGAATTAACAATAGAGCGGCTCGTTCACTATTAATAATAACAAAATGTTTAAGATAAGAAATTGGCATTCTTTTGCCGGAGGTCCCTTCCGAGAGCTCGGCAGCTTTTGTGTAGATTCTAATTTATGTCGTGCATTGTGCCGGTAGGTACTCTCCCCACACACTTCCTTACGCGGGGGGCTTTGGCCCCGACGTTTGGAATTGAATTTGTTGCATCGACTCATTGAAAATGTCTCTTGCATCTATCGCGCACATTCTAATTCATTTATAATTCCTTTGCCAAATTATTTTAATTGAGTTGCTATTTTCACGATGTTTTCCGCACAGTAAATATACAGTGATAAAAGACGATTGAATTCAATCGTTTGGAATCGGTATGATCTCTGTTAATCGAGTTCTACGAGTGATATTGGAAGATTCTTTTTATGTTGGTACGGGTCTAATTATCGATGTAAGTAACCCTTGTTTCTCTTAATGAAGTTTGTGACTTGAAACGTGCGAAATGTGCACTGCGGTACGGCATATTATATTTTTCAATGTTTGCGTATATATTTCATCAGACAGGTGACCATGCGCGTTTTTCCGACGGAGTCGGTATAATATTTTTCTCACCGGCTTTATAACGCGTTGATATTCAGCTGTTGTGTGACATTCATTTAACTCTGTGCCCTTGTAATTAAGTTAAATAGTTTTTGTGCATTTTTATGTTTCGTAATTTTAATATGAATTCATGATCAGGTAAACATTACACTTTAACTTTATTTGTTGCGACATTATTTACTTATTTTAAGATTTTTAGGCCGTAAAGACATAATATTGTAATTATTAATTCGATTCATAAGGTTTGCTCCAGGTTAGGTTGGTGTGTGATTTCAAGGATTTTTTTTCCTTTTTAGAATGGAAAGGGTTTAAAGGATGTAACAAAAACCTGGCAAACATACAGTTATGCTTTACCTGCTATATTCTACGCTCGTGAGATTTATCTAATTCTCGCTGTAAAAAAAGCGAACGATACTGAAGCATATAATTTTTTTTCCTATAGTTATTTTTATAGCTGTACCTGCATTTCTTTGTAGCTAATTCGGTCAAGGTCTACTTTCTAGAAGCATACGTCGCTTCCAAGCCCGACATTGTTATCCGTTGAAGTTTTATGTATAGGTACTTGACAAGCAAAATAGTCATAACAATATCGCGAGGTCGAATTAGTTACGAAATTGTATTACAAGGGATACAGCAGAAAGTTTGATAGCAATATATGGTGTTTTAACGGTGTCATTTTGTGCATGAAATTATGGAAAAGTATATGACCATCGATCGAAATTAAATAATTATAAAATATAGCCAACATCGTCTCCCAATCGGGACACGCAATAGACAAGAACGGGGATAGCTATCCGTTTCCCTCCACGCTCAGAAGGTCCCGAACGAGATAGGGTGCGGCTTTCCCTGTACATTTTACGTGAAATTTAGCGAGCGTCGTTTCTTACTATGAATCCTAAAATGCTCCGAAAATTCATTTGTCTCAGTATAATGCTGCTTATCTTTATCGAGCATATAGTTAATGCATTTTTGTTAAATAAAAATAACAGTCGGACTTCCTGTAATTCCTAGATTTTTATTTAGCTGCCACCTAATATGTAAAACATCTCGCGTACTGTCATATAATCGTATTATTGAGCGCCACGTGGTGATTGCACATTGAACCAGTGTCTGCGATGCCGAAACAGAGGGTCGAATCTTTAAAACCTGCAATATATGTTTCTTTCTTCGGTGGTCTGTATTTTCCTATGTTTTTTTCATTTAACGAATCCTCATACATTTTTATACACACTGAGTATTGTGTCATAATCTCCATATCTATATGTAATTACTGGAATCTTCAAAATTGTTTTTTGTTTTGAAATATTGCACACTTGTGAAATACCGATAACAATACGATACGACGATTTTGTCCTGGGCAGGGTCACCAGTTAGAAAAGTATAAATTCTGTTGCCATCAAGATTGTATGCATAAATAATACATTGTCATTCTAAAGTATGAACTTTGATACTTAAATGAATGTGGATTTTTTTTTATATCAATCAGGTCTCCTTTGGTTCAATTTTGGCTTGTAACCAAACTAGATCTCTCTGTTTCTTATATTATGTTCCATTTGAAATGCTGTGTTTAAGTTATGACGTGTTCTAAATGGTTTGACCGACTTACTACTATCGGTCCATTCACGTGCATCTATGTTGTATAAAAATTATATTTACTTGCCTTGCCCTATAATAGTATTAGTTCCGTCAGCCGCGAGTAGCGAGTCTCTTTTGCTGATGATGCGTTATGACCTATTGGTAACAGTAATCAATTTAAAAACACCAGTGTCTGCAATAATGTGTGACGTCACGGCACTTTAAGTAGATTTATTTATGGGTTCGCGAGTGCGGTAATGATATGATTTACCGACACTTGATTTTTATAATGGAAGATTTTGCTAAGTCCGTTGTTTGTTTTTAATAGAATGCTGTTTGTGATAACACTGTTAAGGATGGTGAAAGACTTCCGTCTAGATTTAAACAGCAGATGACACCAATAAAAGCAAAGTATTCGTTATGTAGAGTGTAGGTTGTTGCTTTAAAATTCCATTTAATACAGTTCGCATTTTCATATAATAACTGCGTGGTAATTAAGAGAAGTTTTGATAACTTCATGCCATTTTATAATGTGTCATATATGCTAATACATTAGGTAGCTCATTCAGGATTCTAATTCAGAACCTTAGTCGTATATGAAATCTTGATTCGAAGATTAAAATTGTTTTAGTGGTAATCGAACCGTTTGCTCAGCGTGAGCTCAGACTATACGACCACAAAACTTGTGTACAGGCGGTGAAAAGAAGACTGAACCTGAGTGAGAGCAGTTCAGGCAGTCAGGGGCACGTGGTGCCGATGAAGGCAGACTTTAAAACTCCAAAGCAGAAGCGAGTCAAAGTGCTCACGCCCTACAGCCGACCGTCCAGTTCTATGAAAAAGTACACAGAACGCTCCAGGTACAATATTTTTCATCGAGGTAGGTAATTTTATTTCATAAACGTATAGGTAAAGTTAGTTATTACTAAAGTGGGACCGTATGGGTACTAAATCGAAGAAAGAATGAGATGTTCATAATATGGTTACTTTGTATTTTGCTGTATAAACGTGGACGGTCGTTGAATTTGATAATTACATAAATTTCTTCATCGGTCCCCATTTAAGAAATCCACTGCTGTCCATATTAGCATATGGTATTTAAGCAACGCTCGTAAATTGATAAAGAATTAATGGTTAATTTTAATGTAGTTTCTGGATGATTGTTTCAGGTTTGACACGTCATTAGGTTTACTTACGAAAAAGTTCGTCGCGCTCCTCAAGTCCTCGCCGAACGGGGTGCTCGACCTGAACATTGCTGCAGAGCAGCTATCAGTACAGAAGCGTCGCATATACGACATCACGAACGTATTAGAGGGTATAGGAATATTAGAGAAAAGATCGAAAAATAATATACAATGGAAATGTGGTGAGTACATGTTTCCTTTAATAATTACTCTGTACCGTTTAACAACCAGACTAAGTATTGAAACTATTCTAATTCAAAATATTAGACTGACGAAAGACAGTCTCTTAAAAACTTTTTACTTGCATCATGAACTGATGACAGTTTCTAGAAAAGACTGAGTATTCTCACTTTTCAGATTAGTTAAAAGGATGAAAATGTCAACATCATCACACCAGATAGACGATTATTTACTTTTAGATAAAAGCTTTGCTACTTGATTGCTCTCATGAAGGAACTTATTTATTTATAAAAGTATTGTATCGCGCCTACGGTGCGTGTATGATTTACCACATGTAGTTTCTTCTTTATCGATAGTACCATAGTTTGAACGTCGTGAGATATCTGGCGACATCTGCTTTTCACTTTAAATAATGGTTGGACTGCTGCGCTGTACTTTTTTCTACTTTCCCACGTTAATGTTTATTTTATTATAATGTAAACAGGTTCGGCTAATGGAGCAACACCCTAATTTTTACAGTGCATGACAAAGATGGCTTGTAATGTTTTCTATTTTACTTTAAATATGAACAGTGTAGCAAGCTTCAAAGGATTTATGCATTTAATTTAATAAGTGGATGTCGTTTATAATCACAATTAAAAATTAATTACGAAAAAAGTCTGTTGTCGACTTTTCAAATCGAATCCGTTATAGACATTATATTTCTTGACTTTCACTGCACTGGCTGTCGCCCTGCGCCTTCGTTCGCGCGGAATGAAAAAAATCTTAATTAGTAGTCTGTGTGTTCTTTCAGACTGTCTTCTGCATCTATGCATGCATCTATCAGCAAGATCCGTGTGCAAGCTGTTCGGAAGATACTTTCCAACAAGCATCCAACTATACATTCTAACAATTGTATTTATAATATTAGTGACTAGTAAGATTGTAATATTGGTATAAATAATCTGAAAAGAGAGTTCTGTAAGAGCAAATTGAATTAAAATTTAAAAGTATTTGATTTATGTAAAAGTTTAATATTAAAGTAGGGAACTTTTGGGCATTGCGGTGTGATACATTAGTGTAGTATCAAGAGTGCGTGGTTGTTTGCAGGCGTGGGCGGCGGCGCGGGCGAGGAGGTGCGCGCGCGGCGGCTGCGGCGCGAGGTGCGCTCGCTGGGGCTGCGCGAGGCGCGGGCGGCGCGTGCCGTGGCTGTGGCCGAGCACGCGCTGTCCCGCCTCTCGGCAGAGCATGGCGCTCTCGCCTATATCACCTATGCAGACCTGCGCTCCATAGATGACTTTAGAAATCAAACCGTCATACCAATCAAAGCGCCGCCCGATACTAGGCTTAGTGTAAGTTAAAATTATATCTCCATTACGTTTAAAAATAATTTAAAATGCTTAAAATACAGTACTTTTCTAGGACAACATTTGGTAAGGTTTTTTTCAATTGGAAATTAGATATGATCTCGATACTTTCTAATGGGTGTTATTCAAGTTGGGCATATTGTCAATCTCTGTTACAGGTACCCCATCCTGACGAGAAAGGCTACATGATTCATTTGAAGTCAATGTCAGGAGAGATCGAAGTCTACCTCTGTCCTAAGGACCCGCCTGCGTCTCCACCGTCGTGTACGTTTCATGTCTATCTACCTAATAGTTGCTCCAAAAACATTCAATAATTGTGTAATTCCTCATGCTCTATATTAAAAAAATCCTACAATGCTCACTGTTGCAAATGTATATAATTACATGTTTTTTTTTGTTTTTAACAGCTGGCCTCCTTCCATCCGATCCACTGTTGGAAGACAATAAGGCGCTTCTGGCGCCGCTCATAGCGCAAATGCAGTCTCGTCCCTCTAGTTCTATTATAGCTGATTTTACGTAAGCAATATTATATTTATCTAATGAAACAAATTGGAATGGTTAATCTGAAAACATGTGTTACTAGGTAGTGCAATAAGCGCACGCGATCAATGTTTACTTTTGTTTATCCAGAACACCAATAAAGCGGGAGTGTGAGGAGCAAGGGTCGCGCAGCCTGGTGGTGCGCACGCCCTGTGTCACCGACCCCACGCTGCCGCTGGCCGCGTCGCTCGGCGCCACGCTCAGCACTACACTCGGCACCTCGCTCGGCTCCTCGCTCGGCTCCTCACTTGGCACCACGTTGGGTTCCACGCTCATCGCGGGGCTGTCCACGCCGATGCGGCATCCGCCCTCAACACCCACTCAGTCGCCCACGCTACTCTCCACACCGGATAGTAAGTATACCGCTACACATGATACCAGCAGTGATAGAGGCAGCTGTAACAATAAAGGGCATTTATAGTAGCTACTGTGACGTCACAGAGACGATGAAGTGGAATATATAGACAACATACCTTGACACCTCGTTTAATGAGATTTATAATGTAGTGCACAACAACCTTAACGTCATAATGTAATATCGATATTTTATTGGTATATAAATTGTTTATCTTGATAGTTTAACTATAATCATGTCTTTGAATTACCATGGCCATATAAGTTTAACAACAAAAAGTCGATCTGCCTGTAATTTTCCAAACGGAGGGTTAGGACATTATATACTAATACTCTTTCATAAATCTCTATCAGCCTTCATATCTGAATTCACTTTTTTACGTATATCTTCTTTCATACAAAGCATCATTACTTTCTTTGGTCTTCTTCTGCCTTTGTAACAAACAAATAATACCAAATGATCAATGAGATTGCTTATGACAATGAATGCAATTGCAGTGGGCGGCGCGCGGGGTCGCCTACGTAACGCGCTGATAGCGGACAGCGACGACTTCGCGCCTATCATGGGCGGTGGCCGCTTCCAGATGCAGACCGAGGATCAGGAGTCAGGTAATCACTAACTCGCCAAACAGACAGCAACACTTACACTGAGTTCTCACTGCAGTGACACTTGTATAAATTATATATTGTCATCTCTTTCGTTATCTTTTACAGAACAAAGACTACAATGTGTATTAATATAACTGGAACTGCAGTGGAAACCTACTCTGACATAGTGTATGTGTACATTTGAATCGCGCATGTTGGTAACACGTGTACGGTCAGATAAATTTACAGGTCCTATGTGCAAAATACGAGTATACGTACATTATATCAATAAATGTTCTTTCGCGCGTTGTCAAAGTGCGCTTCAAAACTATTAGTATGTAATTAGTACTTAACATTTTTCTAGAATTCAACATTTTACTATAAAAGTACATCAGTGGTGTTCTTAGTGGAGCATGACTGTTAGTGACAAATCTGATTTAATCATTCAATTTTTTTAAATAACTCTTTGAAATTAGCATTTGGCATGGAAATAGTATCAGAACTTACCATGTAAAAGGCCTTCAATTATTGTTGTAAATGAAGTGATATATATTTCATTATTCGAAATTTCCTTTTATTCAGCTCAAACAATTACATCTCCAATAAATTTTCTGGATACTGGTTTAACGAATTATATTATAGATTTGTCTATGATAGCTAAAAAATAAATAAGGGAAAATCAGACAACACAATTGTTACAATAAATGTATTTAATTCTAATATGTATTTAAAAATTGAAGTGCTTTTCGCAATCGTTCTGGTGGAGGAAATTTTTTCATTTAATAGGCCCCTACATTTTAACTTTGGTTTTAAGAGGCCTACATATTCATCGTAGGTGAAGGGATGTTCATCATATTGCTTACTAAATAAATATCTAACACTTCTGTCGACGGATGATTTAGTTATATTGAAATAATTTATATTTATTATGAATAACGTAAATATGTATTGTAAATGTATCATTGCCAGCAAAGACAATATTTTCCAACAGGTTTTGAAAGTAGTATCATGATGATGGAAGATTGTGCGGGGACTGTCGCGTCTTGTGGCTAGGACTCGGCCTGTGACTTGTGTGTCAGGTGTCACATCACAGTCAGAGTTCTAGCTCCACGGCGCGAGCGCTCGTCTCACGCCGGCTGACAGAAGATGTGCCCGGCTACCTCTGCCGGGACACTCGCCTTTGCATGCTTTTGTCTCATATCATACCCGTACCTCATTCTCATCCCGCCTTTCTCATACTAACTTGTTAACTGACCCAGGCTTCTTGTCAGGGGTGCTAGACTTATATGCATTTATAATATCGTCAATATGTTAAAAAGAGAATTAACAATGCTAGCGAGTTATTTCATCATAAAGATGCCATAAAGCATCAGTGTGTCTTTCTATCGAATATTAATAATGTTCAAATAAGATTATCTTACGGCAAGTTGTAGTCTTTTTGAGTTGTCAATTTTAATGAAACATACTGAAAAAGTTCATCACCTAAAGTGAGTCTAGCAAACTCTAGCATCTCTCTCAAGCGGAACTCATCTCATTATATGTGCATTGAATGTGGATCTTTAAAATAGTCATTTGTTTTTTAATAAATTTTTCAGTATACACAGTTTCTTACATGAAGATAGTTATTTTGAATGTCTTAATACTATTTTCACCAATATCTGCTCAATGTGTTTACCTTTCGTTATTTTAACGCAGTAATCATTGCCATTTAAAATTAAACTCTACTTTGCACTTGAAATTAAGCATCTATAATATTTTATTTAAAATCATTGCCTAACTTTTCTCCAATCCATGACTAGGACTATCACTCTTGATTTGTGACTTCAATTTGTTTATTCACTCATCAAATGTCATTCGCTTTCACCTTCAATTTACCGGGAATATTTGTTGTGAGCGTGGTGCGGGTGTGTGCGGGGCGGGGGGCGGGGAGCGGGGG